ATGCTGTAGTGAAAAACTTTGAACATACATCATTTCTCACATGTATGACTATGTCATTACTTCAGTCTAATCATGTCACCATGCTACTTAAAAATCCTTCAGTGTTACTCTGTAGCATTAGAAATTAAACTCTTTAGCATGGTTTTCAAGGTCCCATGTAATCTGGCCACTCGTCAGGACTCTGATTTACTTTTTTTTTTTTTGGTTCTAGGTGGACACAATATTTATAATTTTATTTGGTGCTAAGGATCAAACACAGTGCTTCATGCATGCTAGGCGAGCACTTGACTAGTGAGCCACAACCCCAGCCCTGGTTTACTTTCTTGTTCTTTCCTGTCTTAAACCTTATATTCCAGTTACGCTGAACTTCTTTTGATCCTTGAATGGCAAGTGATCTCCGTGAACTTAGGGCCTGAAGTATGCTGTCTCCTTTGCTTGAAACATTTCTTTTCCTATGTATGCTTTTAAGTAGTTCAAAAGTCAATTCTGATGGAAGCTACTCCTGGGATCTGCAATTCCAGTCTAGGTTAGGGGCCTTCTCTGTATCCCCATGATACCTTTTACCAACCACTGCCCTTTGCCCAGTTTTTTTATTATTATTATTATAATAATTGCCTGTTTGTCAGTTTTCTCCATTAGAACATAAATTCCATGAGAGAAAGGATAATTTTTATCTTATTCATTTCTGTATCCCTAGTACCTAACCTAGTCTCTGGCACATAGTAGGTACTCTTATTCATTATGTTGAATGAGTATGATCTGGAATTACTAAAAATGCATTTTAACTTTAATGTTGCTACTTGCTAGCTATGTAACCATGGTTAAATCATTTATACTTAATTTTAATCTCTTTATCTGTAAATTGAGATAATATTCCTAGATACCTAGGATGGAGAAGAAGTGAATGAAGATCAGGTAAGATGGTATATGTGAAAGTACTTTCCAAATATTATACAAATCAGATATTAAGAAAATATTGTAGCTTAGTGGTAGAGTGCTTGCCTAGCATGTGTGAGGCACTGGGTTTGATTCTCAGCACCACATATAAATAAATAAATAAAGTAAAGGTCCATCAACAACTAAAAGAATGTTTAGAAAAAGAGAAAATATTAGTTGTTAAAATACAGAAATTTGTGTTATAATCTCATATATAGTACTTAACTTGCATATAGAACGGCCATGTTGAGTTCACTATATGAATATATTAGAAATAAATATATTATAAAGAAATCACAGTCCAGTGTACAAAAAGCATTAAAAACAATTTAAATTTAAAAAAATTATCAAAATTTTTAGTTGACATAGAGCCAGATACAGTAGTATGTACTTGTATTTCCAGCTACTCAGGAGACTGAAGCAGGAGGATCACTTGAGGAGTTCAAGACCAGCCTATGCAACAAAGCTAGGCTTTATCTTAAATTAAAAAAAAAAAATTTGTTGTTGTTGTTGTGCTGGGGATTGAACCTAGGGCCTTGTGCATGCAAGGCAAACACTCTACTGACTGAGCTATATCCCCAGCCCCACAAAAAACAAATTTTAATTGACAAATAATAATTAAACATATTTATAGGATACAGTGTGATATTTCAACACACGTGTACAATGTGTAGTGATCAGATGGAGGTAATTCGTATATATACAACTTCAAATATCACTTTTTTGTGTTGGGAACATTTAGAACCCTCTCTAGTAGCTGTTTGGAAATATATAATCAATTATTATCAACTGTAGTTACACTACTTAGAAATTTTATTCCACTCCTTCCATGGACAATTAAAATATTGTTTGAAGTTTCTCAGAGAGGCATAAGGGGGAATGTTGTTACACAGTATGATGTTATTATAATTTTCTCTTTATCGCTCTTCTCAAAGTCTAGTTCAGGATGGCAGCTATTCCCTAGAAAAGCACTATTCAAAAGGAGTATTACACATTGAATTTTAAATTTGCTAATAGCAATTTAAAAAAAAAGTAAAAAAAGAAATAGGCACAGTTAATTTAACAGTATGTCTAGTTTAACCTAATAGGTTTAAGATTTGAATGTCTAAAATGTCATTTTAATATTGTAATCACTATTAAATATTAATAAAATATTTTACACTGTCTTTTTATACTGTGGGAGACCAACCTTGCACGTGACTGAGTTAACTCCCCTGTGCGATGTGGCATCAGGCACCCATGCTGCTAGACTGCCCTGCTCTTCTAGGGTTGAGTGTCTGTGTCTTTGTGCCTGGGCGTGCCTTCCTACATCCCCATGGGTGGAGTTACTCTGTTCCTTTGTAATATAACCCCTTGCCCTGTTTAGGACAGAATGTTTCATGAAAGTGCTTTGTGTGTGTCCCCTTTTCTTACTGTGCCCTTGGGTGTGGTCTACCTAGATGTCAGTTAACCTCTGTCAGTGGACATCAAGAAGATAGACTCAGCCCCCCTGAAATCTGACCTCTTGCCTCATTTGAATAGCTTCATGTGCTCTCTCTCTCTCTTCCTGCGGACCCTTAAGGTCAGAGGAGCTGTCACAGAGACCCCAGAGAAAAAAATATTTGTGTCTCTTGTGTGGTTATTTTGTGCAGCCCAGTCAGCGGAGTTCAACTGGAGTGACCCGTGTGCCTTTTAGAAACCCGGTATTATATTATCTTTGAAATCTGTGCACATTTTCTACTTCTGGTACATCTCACTTTGGACTAGTAACATTTCAAATGCTAAATAGCCAGATACAGTTTAGTGGCTAGTATATTGGAAAGCACAGGCCTAGAACTTTTTTTCTTTCTTTTTTTTTTTAAATGTTTATTTTTTAGCTTTAGGTGGACACAATATCTTTATTTTATTTTTTTATGTGGTTCTGAGGATCGAACCTAGTGCCTCATGCATGCCAGGCGAGCGTGCTACTACTTGAGCCATATCCCCAGCCCCTAGAACTTTTTTCTTCCATTTACCTCTTTCAAAATTCTTGCCTGCAAGGCCTATCAGGTCTCTTTCCTACCTACCTTTCCTGTCCTCCCTTTTGTTGTAAGTTAACACAGCTTTAGCTTGTCCCTCTGACTCTGAAGTTTTAAGCAGTTCTGTAAGTCAATGTGCTAAGAGGCCTAGAATGTTGTAAAGGGGAAAGTCTATCTTTACAAAAATCACATTTTTTTTTGTCCCTGCCTCATTATCTATGTTTTATCATGTATACAGTGGCCAGTCTGAAGTTTCACATAGCATATTTACTTCATTGCTGTTGTCAATTTTCACAGAACACCTCTAGGGATGTATTGAGAGAAAGTGTAATCTTAGAAATATTTTTAGTTTCCAGTAATACTATCATGTTCAGATTCTGCTTAGGTTTGGGATATAGACATAAAAAATAACACAAAAACTATGACTATAGTTACTCATAGGAGGTATGAAATACAGTTGACCTTTATGTTTTGTTTTACTTTCATTTATTATGAAGGAAAATATTAATGAAAATAATCCTGTCTTCCATAGTTATTGACTTTAGGTTTTTCTGTTAAGTTTGTAGTCATTCTGCAACCTCTTGAAGAATACAAAAATTCTTACTTAAAATGTTTTCCCAGTAAAATAGGGAGTAAATAAAATTCCACTAAATTTATCCAGAATGATAAAGAAATATTCTATTTAAGGGAAATTGTGTTAAGTTAGTATTCAAATACTATGACCTTAATTTTAATAATTTTTAGTGGAAGTTATTTAATTTGAATATAAATTCTGATCTTTATAACCAGAGATCATTAAATAGAATTTATACTTTTCTTAGATTATTTGTTGAACTGAATTACATTGTATACAACAATGTAGGGGAGGGGAAATGGAGTAATTTTTTGCATGGCTACTCTCCCAAGAGCTGTGCTTCATGTTATAGTAGATATATGTACATATATGGTAGATTATATATACTATATTGTATGTATTATATAATATGTATTACATATATGGTTGTATAGTATTATATTTGATTCTTAGTGTGTCTTCAGTTCAGTTCTAAGTGTTTGGAAAAAGATGCAGTGTTCTACTTACTAGGAGATGTAATCAGGTACCCACCTGCTCTGGCAGGTTGTAGAACTAGGATTTGGCCCCTGGCAGTGTGGCACTACAGACCCTCCTTTAAAATACTCCTCCATTTTACTCCTATCACTAATGTAAACTTCACCACAAACTTCTGGATGTAGATATCAGCATCCTAATTTTACAGATGTGAAAACTCAGGACCAAGAGTTAAGTAACAATTAAAATCAGCTGGCAAGAGGTGGGCATTTCTTATTCTTGCTCTCCCTCTTTCTCTTTTTATTCCTTTTCTAGGACTTTTTAATTTTGGCCAGTCAGTGAAAACATTTCTTTCATCTCTCTTTGGTTCATTTGTTTGCCTTTTCCTTTCCCCAGAAAATATCTTTTATAACCATGAGTGTTGGGGGCCGCCCTGGATAGGAGCTGTGCCCACACCTTTAAGTCCTGAGTAAAGAGGTACTGGACTGGTATCACACCTATTGCAATGCAAGTGGACTTGCCTCTGCTCAGATTGAAAGGTGCAGCGCTGGGAGTTGGTGTTGCCCAACTGGAGTAGGCTGCCTTCTTGTCTCTTTGTAATCCTACCCTTTGCCCTTTTTTGGATAGAATGTTTCATGGAAACTCCCCTAGTGTGTCCCCTATATAAGATAAAGAATTCCTGTGACTCTTTCTCTTTCTATGAACCCCTAGGGTCACAGAGCCATCCCCGGATTTTGAAAAGGTACCTCTGTGTGCTTGTGTGCTTTTTTTTATGGTTTTCTTAAGTTATTGAAGTAGTCAGATTTTGTGAACCCAGCATAGGTTGCCAGCTTGGATGGATGGCAATAAATGAAGGCCCCATTTGAGAGTGATTTGGTTTTCTATGCTACCTATGATCTGGAATCATTGAGATAATTATTTAACTGGGTAATTTATATAATACTTGCCTTTTAAGAGTTTATTCTCAAACTATTGACAGTGGTTTTGTTTTGTTTTGTTTTGTTCTGTTTTTCCCCCAGAGAAATTGGGACAATTATCAGGTCATTAGGATGCTGCCCTAGTGAAGGAGAGCTACATGATCTGCTTGCAGAGGTAGGTGGGGCTGAGGAAATCTTGCCCAATCAACTCTCCTAGGCTCTGACTCCTAACTTTTTTTTTTTGTAATCCTTACTTGAAATTAAAAATTCTTTAAACTACTGAATGTGTTCTTTGAAAATAATAGGGCAGCTGTGTATATCAACCAGCTGACCTAAAAAACTTAAATCATATATTGAAGAAATGACTATTATCAAGTAACATAATTAATCTAATAAAATCCACTTTAATATTATCATCTTTTTAAAATTAGGTGAGGAAAGGCCAGTAGATACAATGTACTGACCATATGCAGAAAGACCAATGACAAATGAAAGGCATATAGTAAATAAATAAATAGAAGCAGAAAAAGAAGCTGAGTTTAAGGAATTTATAATTATTAGAGGAAATTAAAAAAACTTTTAGAACAACAATTAGTAACAGAATAATATTTTTTATATTGACTTTTTTATATATAAATATAAATATAAATATATATTTATATTTATATATCCTGACTTTATATTGACCATTATTTGAAATACTGATGTTAAAAAAAAATCACAACAAATTTAAAGATCTTGATTGGTTTTATTTTGTGATCCTAAACTGAGCAACACTTCATTCCATAAAGTAGACTAAGCATATAAACTGAGCAGAGGAGTTGATTTTAAAGAGAAAAGCCAAAGAAAGCAGAAGCAAAGAACAAAGACTATTAGTTATTTTACTTTCTTATAAGGCAGGCAAAGGAAGATAGAACAACAGTAAAATAACTGGTTGATTATCACCAGGTTGTGTGTTTGTGTGTGTGTGTGTGTGTTGTGGGGGTGGGGGGGGTGAGGATTAAAACATTCAGAACTTAATTATTATGCCAATCCAAAATGGTCTATTTGAAATATTTGGTTATTCTCTGTCTCTTGATTGCTGGGAAAAGAAGATAACAATTTAATTTTGGTTTGATGATCTTGAACTTTAGTATGACTCCATTTTGATTTTTAGCTTGGTCTTTTGGAGCCCAATACAGGAGCTTAATCCAAAACCGTAGCCTCCTATAGCTAA